GTGAACCAGTGGTGGACCAGGTATGATTTGATTACAGAAAGAGATAGGCTTGGTGAAGTGGTACCACTGGCTAGAAATCTGCTTTCCTTAAGTTCCACTCTTAACTTGCCTAGAGGGAGAGGGCTACAATAATAGCATTTCTTTTTACTTTTCTAAAATGACCAAGTTAGCAGCAAAGACCCATATTCAACAACTAGGTTAAGGCAACTGAAGCCAACCACATATTTCCATAATCTCAGATGTCCAAAGCCATCTTTGTGTTTAGAAAAGACTCAGTTTGTAATTGTTTATTTGAAGCTGCAGCTAGAGGAATGAAACCAAATGCTGAACAGCAGGAGGATCTGGTACACAGAGAAATTACTCTGAAAGAATAGCTACTCTTCAAGGTGCATTTCCTTTTGTTTTAAAAATAATAATAATAATTTTTAAACCCAACAAAAATACAGTTGCTTAAGTTTTCATCCTGCTAGGATGCTTTAAATGCGAAGGACAGTGGCCCCTCTGCTCCGTCTGAGCTCTCTGGCCCAGTGACCTGCTGGCATCTGGAGAATCCAGGTTCAGTCTAGAAGGTGGATGGATGTCCAAGCTGCTTCCTGGGACTGAGTCCACATATTCGCTCTCTTGACGAGCTGTGCAGGAAGCACCTGGGCTCGGGACAGCTTTATTTTCTCCAAGAAGCATTTACAATTTCAACTTCAGTGTTTCTATTTCTCAGTCCCTGAAGCCATCAAAAGTAAATGCAGTTCTTGATAAAATAGTCACCCACCCTATAAGCTGGAGGAACCAGGCCAGATGGCTTGTGTCAGTTCACCTGGAGTTCTGCTGTGCAGCGTCGGGAAACCACAATCCTGAGTGTCCACAAACACACTAGCACAGAGCAAACACGGACAGCCACAGTGATCCACACCCAAGAGTTAAGGCACGGAGAACCAGGTGTGGCTCTTGTCACTTCAGACGCTGCACTTGCAAATTCTGAGTCTATAGTAGTTCATCTTTACAAAAACGTCATAGAAAGGCAATTAACTATAATTATTCTTTTTTAAAAGAATTTCAGGCAGCGGAGATTTAGAGGGAGGTCTCACAGATCAAAACAACTGAGTAATTTTCTGGGCAAAGCAGCAGGGCCTATTTTTTACACAAAATGATGCCAAGGAGGAAGCAGAGAATGGAGGTTGCACACACCCTCTCACGCACAGAGGTCCTCTGCCGGCCACGCAGCCCAAGCCAACCCTTAGGGTCAATGTTAATGTCCACATAAGAAGTCCTTCCTTTCCTTTCTGTTCAAGAGACACACCTTTTCTGGCTTGAGTGGTGAATTATCATTAGGCCAACCAGCAAAAGCATACTTGTGAATTAGAGCTGTAGTGACCACTGGGGCAGGCATTTTCCAGGGTTAATGCCAGTGTGTCCGCATGCCCCATAAAGGGCAGACACAAATCCTGAGTCCCACTGAGAATTCAAGTAAGCTCTTATCAAGTTCATCCTTGTTATACTTCACAGCTTTTCAACGTGTGTATAAAGGAATGAATCTACTAGAAATCCATGCTGTTCAACGGCTTTGTAGTCTCAGACCTACACCTACACATTAAAGGCACCACAGCTCTAGGGAAACACCAACACATCTGTGCAGGGAGCACAAAAAGGTAGAGGCAGTTTCCAGAAGAGACAGGAGGTGAAAATGTACAGGTCTTCCTGGATCTAGTTCATTTGAACACACCTCGATTCATCAGGCGCAAAACAGGAGTATTAAGAAAAGATTTCCGATTTGTTCATCACAGTCTATCAAGCACCTGCCTATTATCTTTAGAGGAGACACTCTGGGAAAAGGCACTTAGGATGAACAGACTAGGTGAACGATCTTCTTGTAGTCAGCAATGAAAATGCATGTGTGGCCACTAAGGCAGGTGCAGACCAGCCTCATGACTCTGCAGAGACCCAGGGCACAAGAGTAGGGAAGCTGTGAGAAAAGCACACCCATGTGCACAGTAGGGCTACTAGGGGTCTGGTTGCCAGGACAAGTCAGGCCAGTGTCCTACACAAGGGTTGTGTGTGTGTGAGCATGAGGTGGTGGGGCTTCCAGCTTTGTAACATGTGGTCTTAAACCTAGTTCCCATGCCAGGAACATCTGGTCAGCAGGTCGAATGCTAACTGGGAAGGCCTTTGGTTGCCACAAGAGCTGGCATAGTCTACTACAAAATCCAGAACTCTTAGGAAAAAAAAAAAAAGAAATCCATCTGAGAAGAATATATTAAAATGAGAACTATCTCCACCTCTTTTATGCTTAGCACAAATCATTTTCTGAGGGGGTTCATTTTAAGATCTAAACATGCAACAGCCATTGAAAAAAATTAATCTCTAGATTTCCAGTGTCGTGGAAAATGCATAGGTTCCAGAGAACAACCCCTCAGAACAATTAACAGACTGTTTTAATTGTAGAAAGTTATCAGTATGTGTAGCTTCTTTTAATGATGCTCACATATAGCAAGCCTATGTAATTACCAACCCACACTAGTGCAGTTCTCCTGAGTGGCGCACAAAACCTGCACCATCATCCACTGGGAGATTGGAAGACAGAGTGGGTCGGAACGGAGCCCAGCCAGCAGTGTGCCAGGGGACTTAATCACTGTAATTTAGATCTTGTCGCCGAGGCCCAGGTACAAGCTCTTTCAGGCACTGTCAAGCAAACTCCATGTTAATTGCTGTTCCTATCTTCTGAGGACATGAACACCCTAATTTGCTGTGACTTCAGCTTCTCTAGCCATGTGGCAGGTGGTGCTAAGCCCCCTTTTCCTCCAGAAAAGGAAAGCTATTGAAGTTGTGATCAGCCAGCTCATGCCGCCAAGATCAGCACACTGCGGTCACCAAGCTCCTCCATTTGTAGGAGTCGACACCCCAGGGTGACTCAGCCTATCAGTGGGTGGAACGCATTGCCACCTCCCCAAGTCCACATTCTGCTCTTCCCCACCAACTCCGACTTTCAATACAAGTGTCATTTCCAAGTGATGAGTTCCATGATTCTGTGTGGACTGGGTGAAGCAGAAAATGCAGGTAATCCTTTGAGGCTTTCAGGAGGCTCCAGTCAGCACATTTGGACAATCCCAACCCAGATGCCTCCTCTCCAGGGGACTTTGTAGCTGCCCTGAAATGTGTCAGATGGTGAGCTTTTAGCTTTAGGGGCGCAGCTCTTTCCAAACACTACCTCTCAGTGATGCCACAGTAAATTAAGTTCTAGAATTGACTTTCCTGTCCTCAATCAGGGCAAGAGATACATCTTCAGATGCAGTATTATTCTTTTAAAAAGACAGCCTCCTTTCAAAACAGATTGAAGAGCAAAGAGATGGGAGTCCAGCTAACCCTAGGACTACATATACCCTACTCTGCTGAGAAACGTTCTAAGTCAGGGCACAGTCTACACCGTAAGTCACCATTCTATGTCGTGTGATTTCTGTGTGTCTATGACGAGGCATAGGAAGCCTCATTTCCTCTTCCACTCTCAAACACCTTCTTTGTCCTGTCTGAATCCAAAGTTCTGTTTCCCAAACTCTAACGGTCACAGGATGCTAGATATTCAACGGAGTGCACTTTTCCAACTCCATTTTGGAAACAGGCCATGGAGTTTAAAGATCTACCATAATTGTGTCTAAGTTGGCCTTGTAGTAGTGGCAAATAGAAAAAAACCCTGTGAAATGCTTTGTGCCACAGTGCCTGGGACTTTAAAGCGGAAGTTTATCAGTGAGCACATAGACCGGAAATAAATCCAAATTAAGTGGAGGAGGTTCTCATTAAGACTATCTGGGACTGATGGACAGATTATATGCTTGGATTCCCATCTGAAAAGCAAACCTAGATCAGGCTTCTGTGTTTTCCCTTAGGCACGGTAACAAGAAACTTAGAAGACAGCAGAGTTAGAAATGAGTGATAAAAATGAGACTTAAAAGACAGTACCATTTCAGAGTCCGAGGCCCAAAGAGACAGACAGCTGGAATATTTCCTCCCCACAAGGCAGAATCTTGTCATACTTTGGATTTTAGGCTCAAATCCAAAACAGGAATTGAAAAGTAGTATTTATTTTGCCCAGTGGAATGATCTCCAAGGATATAGGGGAAAGCGTATTTTCTAATTTGAAAGGTTGGATGGGATGTATCTAACATAAGCTATGTCTGCTGGGTGTCTCCGGCCCTTAACCCCTCCCTGTCAGGAGCCAGTCACTGAAGAAACAATCTACTGTGCAGGAAAGCGATGCGCTCAGACAGGTTCTGTTCAGCACACACTCGGCACCAAACACCACGTTCTGTTGGTCTTGGAAGAGACTCTCCTTCTAAAATTGTGTTAAAATCTGGGGTAGGTAAATGACCTAGGAGTTAAGCAGCAACTTAAGACACCTGAGACCCAGCCCGAAATGCCTGGGTTTCATCTTCGGCTCTGGCTCCCGACTCCAGCTTCCTGCTAATGCAGACCCTGGTGGGCAGCAGTGAGGGCAGGAGCGACTGGGCTCCTGTCCCCCACATGGGAGAGCTGCATTCCTAGCTCCAGAGGCAGGCCCTGGCCCGGGGCTGTGGTGGGTATTTAAGCAGTGAACCGGCAGACAGAAGGTCTCTCTGCACTGCCCTTATTTTTAAAAATAATAACGAAGTTAGCATCTTTACAAGTATCTTCAAAAGACTACTGCAGTCTATGGTCTCCATTATTAACTGATACCCAAATCACAAAATTTCTCTATATCTACTTTGATATACAATAGGAGAATTAAGAAAAATATGTATTAGCTCCAACCACACAAAGATTGAATCTACACATTGTTGTAACATTTGAAATAAGTAATTAAGATTGTAGGGCTAAAGTATTCTGCTGGCAAACGAAAGGCATTAAGCATATAAAAATAACCATCACTGCTTGAAGAATCACCTCTCTATATACTGAGCGCAGTGAGTGGGAGGGGCCCAGGACACTGGGCGCGGGGCCAGGTTGGCATCCTGGCATGAGCGAGCAAGGACACTTACCTGGTGTGGGAGGCGGCGTCGTTTATGCTGAAAGTGCTGTTCTCCCTGGTCAGAGGGTTGGAGCCAACCTGGCTCTTGCTGTGCATGTCCAGGCTCAGGGAGGATTCTGCTTTCCGGTCCATGCCAGGGCTCTCAGTCTCGAGTGTCCGATCAGCCATGGAGATCACCTCACTGGAGCTGTGCCACAGGGGCGCGACTTTCTCTTTGCCTGGCCCCGAGCGAGGAGATGAGGCGGCAGCTCCCAGGGAGACGCTGCTCCCGTGGCTAGGCCCATAGGAGGTGGTGTCGATGCCGCTGTCCGCAGAGGTGCCTTGCACATAGTTGTAGCTGCTGAGCTCGGATTCTGTTCGGTCCCCGTCATACCACTTCTCATCGCTGTGGGCGCTCGATGCGTTGCTGGAGAGGGTGTTGCTGCTGGAGTGGCTCGAGTAGTGGCTGTCAGACTGTGAAGGAAGCATGACGGGCATCAGGACATGTAGCAAGTTAACAGGAGCAACTGTGTGATGGTGTCTAGTTACACACTCCTGACGGCACCCAAGAGACTGGGATTATTTAAACCAGAATGAAAAGATTGCTACTAGTTATGTCTCAAAATAGAATGGAAATTATACTGGCAAAGGAATTAGAGAGCATGTATGATTCTGAAAGTTCCAATGCTCAGAGTGAATGGAAGGAAGATTGCAAGACTTAGTCCACACATCCACTTAGAGTCAGCTTTCCAAGCAACGCTTGCAGGAAACATTCCTTGGCGGGTACAGGTAACTCAACTGGGGAAAGTCAGAGTAACCTACAGATGACTGCAGGACTGCCAGATGTTCACATGCAAACAAAAATGAAGGGAGATTCCAACTTCGCAGAAAACTAATCTCAAGGATGGACCATCTCAACATGAATAGGTAAGCCTACACAACTTTTAGGATAACAAATGTGTCAATCTCCATGATTTTGGTCGATGCAGTGTTTTTTTTTTCTTTCTTTCTTTAAATAGATGTGCCCTTAAAAGCTTAAGAAATGCAAGGAAAAAATACACAAACTGGACTTCATCAAAATGAACAGCTTTTGTGCTTTAAATAACCCAATTTTAAAATGAGCAGTTTTAAATAGACATTTCTCCAAAGATGTACCCCTACAGATGGCCCACAGCACATGAAGAGGTGCTCGATACCACTAGTGATTAGGATAACGCAATCTGAAACCGCGGCGAGGCACCACTTCACACACACTGGGGAGTGTGGCTTTCCTTAGAAAGGCAGAGAACAATCTGGGTCACCGAGAGGACTGTGGACCTAGGAGGGCCTGCAGTGGTGCATAAAGGTTTTTCAAAAAGTTCATGGAAAGATTCCTGTGACACCAGCAACCCATATGGGTGACAGGTCAAGTTCTAGATGCCCCACTTTCCATCCAGCTCCCTGCCAATGGGCCTGGGAGAGCAGCAGAGGATGGCCCAAGTGCTTGGGACCCTGCACTCCATGTGGGACACCCACAAGAAGCTTCTGGCTTCTGGATTTAGCTTGACACACCCAGGTTTTGCGGCCTTTTGGGGAATGAAGCAGCAGATGCGAGATTTGCCTGTTTGCCTGCCTCTCTCAGCTGTGCCTTTGGAATAAATAAAAAACAATTTCTTAAAAGTTTGTGGAAAAGGAGTTAAGAAGTAATTTTTTTGCTGTAAAAGCTTTTTGAAATACAGTTTTTCATAATAAGCATTTTCCATGATTCATTAAGGCTCCTCATATATTCAAGGGAAAGGAAAACAGGCTCACACAAAAACCTGTTCTGTAAATTTTTGTAAGAGTGAAAAAGTGAAAATACAACAACAACCCCAAATGTTCTGCAACCGGCAAGTGTATAAAAAAAGTAGGGTATACCCACACAATGAAAAATCACTGTCATGAAAAGGGATGGAATACTGATGAATGCGGTAACATGATGAACCTTAAAAACACCATTGGACAAATATTGTATGACTTCTCTCATACGAAATGTGAAGACAGTGAAACAGAAAATGGACTAGTTGTAGTTGTATTTAAGTACTGGACGAGTTAATAACTTGAGGATACAGAACTAGATATTCTGGAATTAGATCATGGCGCTCAAAGCACAGCTCAGTATATTCTTAAACCCATTAAACTCTACCTCTTAAACAGGTGATAATATGGTACTTATAGATCTGCTACACTGGGAATTTTAGGTGCTTATAAAGAACAGTTTATAGAGTTTACCAAGGGGGTAAGATTTTTAACATGTTTGTATAGGATAACATTTTGAACTAGATGGAGACAAGAAGAGACAAGGAAAACAGGTGTGTTGCTCTTGGCGGAGGTGGGAGCTTGCTCTCTACTGGCCAAGGCATGGGGACAGGTCGGGGACAGAGCTGTTTCAGCTTACAGTAAAGTTTCCTTGCCCAGTTACCCTGTTGGTGTGGTTCTAGTTTTTCTCAGTAATCTGTCAAGGGAAGGACTTGTTAGGAAAGGACTTTTTTAGCCCTGGGTTATGCTGTCGAATCAGTAGCCCCTAGGTACTGGGCTATGGGGTATTTTAAGCATGGCAGGGCTGAACGCAGAGGCAGTTAGAGCATAAGGTGCTTGATAGATCTCTATAGAGAAACACAAAGTGAACCAGAAAGTTTCTAGCAGCCACATTTTAAGAAATAAAAAGTGAGTTTTAATATCATATTTTATCTAATAAAATCTGCCCAAATTATTTTTACTGCATAGTACAAAGATAACTAATGGGCCAGAGAAACTCACAGACTGACTTGTAAGCAATAAGAAACTATGTTGCTATGGTAAAAAGATAGCAACGTATGCAGTCATGGATGCGACAGAAGCAACGGAGGCAGCTGTGCGGGAAGGTGACTGTTGTCGCCTTGAGTAATGTTAGTGACTGTGTGATAATACAACCTCTTTCTACCACATCTCCATCCCTTAGGATTGATATTTGAATGAGATGATCTTCCATGCAGATTTGTAAGGGACAAGGGCAGAGCACCAAGAAATGACTCTTCTTGAAGTAACCACAGGACCACAGTAGCCAGCAGCCACCCTCTGCCGGGAGACTTCCTCTTTGGCCACATGATGGAACAGGAGGCTCGTACCATTCACACATCACCAGGAAAGAACACTGCTAGGAGTCTATGTGCAGTTAACTTACATGCCCTTGTTTGTTTGGAGAAAGATGAACCACCGGATCCTGCCGCATTAACCTCCCACTGGGGCTTTCTCGGAACGCTGGCAGGACCTTGGAAACAGCTGGGAGGTGGCACGTGGGCTCTGGAATACAGCACAGAACATTATGATGCAGGTACATTTTGACAAACGAAGATGGCTTGCCACTGCATCTTTCAGTTCATGGCCAGCCAACTCCGGATTTTAGCAGTAAGCTTGTTAGGAATTTATACCATAGACAGCATGTCAGAAACTTGAATGCTGATGGATAAAGCTTGCAGCTGGTGACAACATGTCACATCACACACATTAGCATAGCCAAGTACCACCAAACCAAACGCCATAAACAACGTAGCAAAGTTTGGAATCAACTTTTGGTTTGGGGGAAGTTCAGAGTGTATGCATTAAACTTAGGAAATTCATTCACTGCAAATGTGGCTAACCTGGCTCGGTCTACATTACCTAGACAGGCATGGATGCAATCGCGCATTACTTACCATGACACTTTGGAAATATTTTACCTGTATATTCATGCTGCTCGACAAAAGAACTGAAATCCTGAGGTCCTCTATAACTGTAAGCTAAGCACAACAGAAAAGATACACAGCAACTAGTTTACTTAAAACAATTGCTTCCTTTTGGACTCCAAGCCAGCATTCAAGTGAAAGATAAAGCCATTTGTCCTCTGGGTTTCTGCAGCTCCTACCCCACACGCAGAGGACAAACTAACATACTCCTTCAGTCTGACTCTCAACCACTTTCCACAAGGAGAGAAGCAGCAAAACAGACTGAATGTTCATCTCCACATGGAGTGGTACTGATTTATAACACAGTGATGCGCAAAGCCAGTTGGGCCTGCTCAGCCAATAAGAACCTTCTAAATGTTCTCAGTGAACACAAGCTATCATAGAAGTTGGCTTTTACAATGTGGCTGGGGAAATGTCAGCTCTTCACGCACACAATGTTGTGCAGAGTGATAAAAACATCACATTTTTTTCTTAGATTTTCCCTAAGATAGGGTCCATTAGGAAAGGTGGGTTATTCTTTTTAGAATGCTAGGAAATCAATACTTTAAAATAAAATTTATTTCAAGATTTTGATTTTGAATGGAGCCAAGGTCACCACTTGGTTCTCCTATTCTACGGCAAAAAGGCTTTTTCTCTGGCAGGACTTGGAGCAGAGGTAGGGAATGTACGACCCATGGGTTATACAGGGCCATATATTTGTCATTTGTTTTGTCCTTGTCAGGGTAACTGCAAGCAGCAGTCAAAATTTAATAAGTCAATATCAGGCAGATGTTTAAGTTAATAATTTTGTATGGCTTATGGAATGATATTATAAATATCCACATGGCCCTTGGCAGAAAAAGGGTTTCCCACCTCCTTTACCTCTGCCTTACAGGTGCCATGTTAAAAAAAATCCAGCAGAGAAAGAATACCAAGTCTTTACCTTATTAACACGAACAAATATGCTTTTAAAATTCGTACATATTGATTTTAGAGTCTTCTCTATTAGGAGTGGGATTTCACAGAACTGAAGCAGATGCAAAGAAGAGAGGCCTGGAGGAGGTGTGTGTGTGTGGGAGAGCGGATGAGGGGCTAGGACAGAGCTTCTAATTACCCCCCTTCTCATGCCAGGACACTATCCCATTCCCTGTGCGGCTTCCTGAGTGTGGGGAGGAAGACTGAAAGCGACACGGAGGCCTTGCTAGCTTCTGCCTTTGAAGCGCCTGTCATGCCCAAGAAGAGACCCCCTTTCACCTGTGTCAGTCACATCTCGATGGGGTTAAAAAGCTGTCAATTCTGTCAAGAGCAGAAAAGCAGAGCAGAATATGCTCAGGTTTTCTGGGCTGGGGGAGGGTGGGAAAAGAGCGGGGAATGACAGATGGCTTCAATAACAAGGCACATCTCGCCTGGGAATAAAGGATAGCTGTGGAACCCGAGCCCCACACTTGTCTTCACCAGTTCCTGTCTTACCCGAGTAACTCCTCCCACCCTCCTGTGTTCATACTTAGCACATTTTCTTGCACAAACTCTTGAAAACAGGACAAAACAATGAATTGGCAGAGGAAATGAAAAGAGGGGACTCTGCTTTAAAAGCTCATCTCTTTCAGTCCTGAAGTTTGCATCCTTTCATTCCACACTGATGGTAATGCTACTGGAGATGCTAGAGGAGGAAGCAAGCAAAAAAGCCCGCAACCGTGGAACACTTCTCATGCTCCATGTGATCAGGCGTGTTGGCACCAAATCCCTGGTGCTGCTGTGTAGAAATGTAATCTTGTTTTACATACAACTTTACTGTATCAACTGGTGCCATCATGTCCTCTCAGAACAATAACACGTCTACAGGGAGAGGGGCCATGCACCAGACAGCGAATGAGGACTTGCGAATGCAGACTTTTCCATCCAGCTGTGTTGCCCTGCTAAGACATGTCCTTGGCTGACAGCTTAATAGCAGAGTGGAAAGAATTAAAATGAAGTGCATATAAAGGAGGGAGGGAAATCTGACCAAGCTGTATGTATGACTAAATACTTGCATCTTTTTCTTACTTAACTATACAGCCTTAAAAAAAAAAAAGCAGTATTCAGGCTACGAGTAATCTCTTTAAGGTCCTTACACTAAGAACAACAAAAACAGAAGACCCATGGGAAGAAAAGTAATAGTACAAAAAGTGGTTTGGTGGGCTGGGCTTTTAATCTTAGAGCTGAAACTAATTCTTACGTATTTTCTACTTTTACATTTGAGGTCACTAAACGTTCCCTGACTTTTCTCTCGGGAAGTGCTTGATACTTCTGTGTTAACATAAACTTAGTGACACAGAATTCTAATTCACCTTTCCTCACCAGGGCTGTCTTGGAATGCTTTGGTAATCTCATCAAGAGGTGGTCAGCATTGTCTCACGACAAACACAGCCTGCTTCTTGCAGAGAAGACTTACCAATCTGGTCGACAATGCCGTCCTCACTTCTTTGCCAGCTGGGTGTGGATTTCCCACTGCCACTCATGTCCGACTGGGTGTTCTGCCGGTCGATGGAGGCTGGGGATCTGCGGCTGACACCAAACCTGTGGGGGATGTCCCCAAACAACAGCCTAGTCAGCATCAGGGACTTCATCTGCTGCTGCAAGGCAGCGCTTGGGTGTCATGAACTCAACTCCAGTGACAGCTCCTACTCTGTTTTTCTCACATGTCTGCACCTCGACATGCATCTCTGCCATGTGTGCATGGGTGTGAACATGTATGTACTGTGGTGAGGTTGCAACACAGCTGCCTGTAAGGGTATGCAATACAGGTTGCGGGAATTACAAGTGGAGCTGGAACTTGCATCTAATAATTATGCTTCTGGGATCTGGGCATCCCAAGCAGCACTATAACCACTGCACCGAATGCCTACCCATGAAAGGTGCCTTACTTGGACCTGACACACTCAAGGTAGAACAAGTAAGTGGTGTATGGGAAGGAGCCAATAAAATGCCATTCCAACTCTGGCTCCAATACCACCGAGCCAAATCAATATACTTCTGAGTTGCTTTCTTCATGTGTTAAAAAAAAAATTACAGAGATCTGAGGGAAAAAAAATCCATACAAAGCATACTGCATTTAAAGAACAGGCTATAAGTATAAATAAAATGCTTATCATATCATCTCCCCATTTATTTTCACATAGATTTACATACTCAATCACACAGTTCACTAACTGAAGTTATCTCATTTCCTGACAAATGATGATTAAAAAAGAAAAAACTTTAATTGATGAAGACATTTCGGTAAACACACATATGCAGAAGAAAACGTTAGGGACAGGCTTTTAGCCTGGTGGCTCAGATGTCCACAGCCATAACAGAGTGCCTGGGTTTCATACCCAGCTCTGGCTCTCAAGCCTGGCTTCCTGCTAACACACAGCCTGGGAGGCAGCATGATGGCTCAAGTACTTGGGTTTTGGTCACGCACCAGGAAGATCTGGAAGTTCTTACCTCCGGCCTTGAGCCTCTCCTAGTCATATCCCTTGCAGACATCTGTCAGTCTGTCTGCCCTTCTCGCTATCTGCCTTCCAATCACACAAATCTGAGGGAACAGTAAGAGGCTTCCAGGATGTTTTTATGCCATTTCCTGCCCAAGTAGGGCTTCTATCAGGTCAGAAGAGCATGTATACTCAAACCAAGTCTTTAATTGTATTCTGAATCAGTACTGAATTTTTTAAAAAGCACTTAGAAATGGATTCTAATTTTGCTTTTACTTTTTGGTAGCAAACCAGAGCTATCTTCCAAAGCTTAATGCCTTTTTGGCTACCTGCTTTTAAATAAATCATGTAGCAAGGTTATGTTTAACTCTGCCTGGAAAAACATTTTTCCCATGGAAGTTTTTTTTTTTTTTTTTAAAGATTTTACCCCCTTAGGGAAGTTACCTACTCCGTTTATTGCCATGCCAGGATATTAGGGTTACAGGGATCCTGGCCTTGAGGAACTGACACAAAATCTATTTATACTGTGCCTCTTTCTAAAGAGCTCAATTGCGGCTTTGTTTGGAAAAGCACTTAATATTGAAGGGTCAGAGATCAGACTGGAAGGAGTTCTAAGCCATCACTTGGCAGCCACATGAAGCGGGTCAATGGAGCTTGGTCCACCCCTGCCTGAGGCTGTGAGTCATTCTCTTCCTCTGGACACAGGGAGCCACCATCTCTGTAACCTGCCTGCTCTGATCGCAGGTGCACTGGCAGCTGGAGAGTGCTGGGAGAAAGGTCTGGTGGTCTCACTGCAGCCAGGGGCACCTGCAGCTTATGCAGCTTCAGTTACGCTTATCAGGCAGAGACTCCAACTTGTCACTGCTCCCAGCTCTCCCCGAGTGCATGGCCTTTGGGTACAGCTCTAAGGAGGGTAGAACAGGCCCTCCGTCTCTTAGTGTTGCTTTTTAGTTCTTGTTCATAGCCATCTTAAACGTGGATAGGTGCCCTTCATCCCCCATTTAAACAAAGGAGGCAGTATTAAGTATGCTATTAAATTTCCCTCTCAACTCATCTCAGCGCCTGTGACCAGGCAGGCCCTCGTCACATGACTGTAGGTGCAGTGCTTGTGATGTGCAGGGTCAACCTTTGTGCACTGCCCTGCCAGCGCGACGATCTGGGGCATCTATGGACCACAGTGCAGCAGATACGCTCAGCTCCTCCATCGGTTTGGCTGTGTCTGTTTCAAGGGGAGAGCTTTAAAGTGGTGAGAGCCATGTTCTCCAGGCCTGGAGATTTAGGGTGATTTAAGGCTGAAGCTTGGCCAAGAGCAATGCATGTGATTCTGACAGTGGGACACTGTCTCTTGTATCACCGATAAAGGCAAAAACAGTTTGGGGTCTAAAGGAAAAAATGGCATTACTAGGACCTGGCGCGATAGCGCACTGGTTGAGGTCCTTGGCTTGCACACACCGGGATCCCATATGGTTGCCGTTTCTGATCCTGGTGGCCCTGCTTCCCATCCAGCTCCCTGTCTGTGGCCTGGGAAGGCGGCTGGGAATGGCCCAAGGCCTTGGGACCCTGCACCCACATAGGAGACATGGAGGAGTTCCTGGCTCTGGCTTCGGATTGGCTCATCTCCAACCGTTGAGCCATTGGTCAGAAGATCTTCTCTCTGTCTCTCCTCCTCTCTGTATATCTGCCTTTCCAATAAAAATAAATAAATCTTTTATAAAAATGGCAATACTAGGTATGTTTATTTTGGTTCAAAGTACTTTAGAAATACATGTCCTGTTTTTTTTTTTCATAATGCCACTTTTTCTTTCTATGAAGCTTCTGAAAACCACTTATAGCCATGGATTTCAAAATTTTCTTGCAGCAAAATAAATGCTTTTTATTTTTTGCCTTTTGACATTTTCCACAAATTTCAAGTGTTCATATTTAAAGCTTCTTGGAGAAAAGAACAACTGCTGGTAACTTCGCAACAACAGGGCAAATTCAAGAGGTTTAGATATTTACCCCCAAGAGTAACTGCCACCTCATTAACAAAATTCAGCAGCATGGCCACTGCATCAATATTCACCCAAACATTAATGTTTCATGGCAGGTTTTTGAAAAACATTATATCATAGATGGAAGAAAAAACGTTTTCTGTTGTTGCTATTTATTAGCTCTTTTACATTTATTGCTTACGGACAATAGGCCATTAGTGGCCACTCGTGAAAACAAAAAAATAATTAGCTGGACTTGGGGTGTGGTAAAAAACCCTGCAATTCATAAAGCTTTTGCAGGGACTCATGAATAAGACGTTAAAGCTCTTTTCAATTGTCACTGAAGCGATTAAAAAAAAAGTGTGCATTTTAGCCACAGTACACGGGGGGGGGGTGGGGGGGGGGCAGGGAAGACAGTGGGAGTGAGGAAAGTATATTCTATTAACTACTTTCTGCGCACGTAAATATTTAGCAGCAACAATAATTATCCCTAACAGCCCTGAAAACCAACAAAATTCTGTAAATAAAAAATGCCACGCTGAGGATATTATTAGCAAGCACACTTATTTTGCAACCTGGTGGCATCTCAAGGATGTAACAAATCATGTGTCTGTTTGCAGAACAGAAACACTAGTTCTTATGAAGACATCACGTTACATCTTCAAGTGGTGCAAATTTTCTCCTGCAAGACAATGCCCAACAGGAGGCCTTGGAGGGTTCTTTCAAAGTCTTCCTTTGGGTAGGGCAGACTGCGTATGCCCACCCTGTAATGTTTGGTTGCTAATTATTTCCCAAGTAAGGACCCATCAATTTTATTGCTTCTTGGTTAAAACAAACAATTAGAAATCCCTGAAATCATGTTACGCTTAGATGTTTACTTTGTAAGTCATGTCAGAAGCAAACTGTTACATTAACAACAACAACAAATCCACAGAAGGCTTTAAAGTGTGAGACAAACACTTGCACGTTTTGGACATGGTCATCTCTTTGTCTATGTTAGCAGGAACACAGGCTCCAGGGAAGGAACATTCTGTGGAACACACCGAAGCAAACACCCAGGGGTGACAGAGCCCTTCCTGACGAAACAGTGCAGGCCAAGGAGGAAGGAAGTCTTCTGTAGGACAGGAGGAGTGCGTTGACTCCCTAACCACTGCCTTTGGCCAGCCCCATCACACCCTCCCGCCATGTGTGTGTGAGCTGGTCAAGATGATGAAATGAACATCTCTGCATGTGTCTGAGAAGTGATGAGAGCCAGGACCACCCCTCAGGCATGCCTCGGGACAAAGGGCACACCTACCCTTCTGGCATGGATTTCTGTCTGTAAGTGCCCCCGCCAGAGCCAGTCTCACTGGACGAGGAGAGGTTGCTGGGGGAGTTACGACACTGGGATCTTGCCAAGGCCATGGATGAGACGGTCACATAGATGTCCGAACCAGGAGACAGCCTGTGTGCACAAACCAAATATGAGATCAGTTACTTAAGGGAAAACCCTAAGACAACGTAAGAAGGGTAAGATCACATAAATTTCACAAAACAGTGACTTCATGAATGGATCGAAACAAGCTGGCTGAAGCCTGTAAAAGAAAGCTCTCCATAAAACTGCTCCCAAGGGGGAGGGGTGCTGGACAGCCTCCTCAAAGCGGGAGGGGCTGGGGATCCTCTCCCAAGCAACAGGCTGCTCTGCTTATGCAGGCTCCTAGCACGGCCAAAGCTGAGACAGCAGCCCCGGCTTGGTGGGCTTGTTCTCGAACTTTACCACTTCAAGTCTGGAGCAAACAGTGACATTTTGCCATTTAGTACTCATAATTTTGGCTGACAAGAATACATAATTGAAAAAAGGAAGCCTATGACTTCATATGCTAAATTTAATTCCAACAACTACTGAATTTAGATACTATTACAGAAGAGGCAGTCTTCAGACAGGCGCCTGATCTACTGCTGGTATTCAGGACCCTTCGCCCTGTGGCCGACTGTCCCAGCAGACACCAGGGCTTGGTGAACATGACAGACACATCCTTCCCCTCCCTCTCCTCTCCTAGGGAACAGGACAACCGCAGGTACATCAGTAGCTGATGCTAATCCTTGAGGAGGAGTACACTAAATCTCGGTCACAGCAGGTCATTTCCACTACGCAGTTGAGTACACAGAATCCAATTCATTTACCTGCCATGGCGACCCAGGAGTTCAGGGTCTAGTCCAATGGCACGCTCACTGATGGTCTGACTTTCAGGTTCATTCTGTCTCCTTCTTTCCTCCTCTAAGACACCTGCCTGGGGCCCAGCAGCGTGGCCTAGTGGCTAAAGTCCTCGCCTTGAACACGCTGGGATCCCATATGGGTGCCGGTTCTATCCTGGCAGCTCCACTTCCCAGCCAGCTTCCTGCTTGTGGCCTGGGAAAGCAGTCGAGGAGGGCCCAGAGCTTTGGGGCCCTGCACCTGTGTGGGATACCCGGAAGAGGTTCCTGGTTCCTGGCCTCGGATCGACATAGCATTGGCCGTTGCAGTCATTTGGGGAGTTAATCATTGGACGGAAGATCTTTCTCTCTGTCTCTTCTCCTCTCTGTATGTCTGACTTTGTAATAAAAATAAATAAATCTTTAAGACTTTAAGCCTGTTGAAGGTCTCGTCAAAGCTTCCTATTACCTACAGCACACAGGACCCAATCCCTGGCATTCCCACTTGAATTGTGGAGCCACCTCCTCTAACTCCATGCCCCTTCGTGGACACAATCAGGGTTTACCACAGGACACCACACTTGCACCTATGCCCACCTATGCCCACCTTGTCCTCTGCCTGGAATACCTCCCCTGCTTTCTACACGTATGAAATCCCTTTGCTGCAAGGCTCATTTCTAACATCCTGTGCCTGAATCCAAGGATGGTCTGTTCTCAGTCACGTGTGTGTGTGTGTGTACTCATAGTACATACATATCCAAGACTGCTGTGGAGCCCTGCTGATCTGTGCATCTATGACATTTAATCCACATGTTTTTGGGGGAGAAGCCCTGCCAGCACTAGCGAGTTCAGGACATGAGCCCACAGTTAATCCGACATTCCAACAATAGTGGTTCTAGATTAGTTGAAAAACTAAACGGCCACACAGTGCCAGAGCTTGTAAGCAGCTTACAGGAAACAATGACAACAAGTTAATATACTTTCCCAATGCAAGTAAAAGGGATGGAGCTCCAGATGGCAGAACTGTGTTGAAGCCTGGATACCCCAGGATACCACTGATCCTACATTAACAGGGAGAGAACTTAGAGCATGCACAAAGCAGGGACACTAAGAAAACCCGGGATGCTGGCATTCATTCAGCAGGTGTGTGGAGAAGCGAGGCGGTCTATCTAAGCTCCTCTCTTCACCATCACTCCTCCTCCTTTTAAGTAGCTAGTATCTGAAGCATGTCATGCCTGTACCTATCACAGCTGTCCTGTGGAAACGGTACTTTTCACAGATGTCCTCAAGGCCTGTGTTTGTGTACCAGTACTAATTTGAGTAGGATCTACTTCCATATCTGTTGGCTCTGCCATCCCCAGTCTTGTTATTGCTACAGACACTTCTAGAACCACAGGGGAACCACACTGGGGCGTCCTTGATGCAGGCCAGGTCTGCGTGTGGCTGACTACGGAGGAGTTGAAGCTAGCTCACTCACTGATGGGGGAAACACTTTCTGATAAAGACAAAGGTCAGGACATCTATTTGGAAAACACAGGATGGATGTGCCCATGCTCTTTCCACTAACATGTTTCAAATTTCTTTCAGATTTCCCATTATTTATTTTGGAATAAGTGGAAGAGGACTAGAACGGAGGAGGAAGTGGGGGACTAGATTATGACAGAGGGAATTAAGAAAAGATGGAGGAAGTACATGAGTTTAAATCTAACAGGCATGGATTCAAATGTAATGAAATTCCACATTCCTTGCTGCCTTAGGAATTTGGACTTGTTATATGCACCTATTATAGAGAAACTTAAATATAGTTTATTCTTGTGGCTACCTTGATATTCTTACTCTGAGTACTGTGAGGAAGAGGAGGTGTAAAATAGGGGGAAGGAGATGGCAGTAGAGTCCCACAATCTAGGAGCCTGGAAATGAGGAGTACTCATTTCCGGGTAAATAGTACTGAAGAAGTACATTTGTGGTGAATATTAAAGTCTTTATGCTCCCGTCAGGAAGTGTAGCACAATGACCCTGGATCTGCATTTAGAGCTTACTTTTCTTACAATATATATAATGCTAAAATTTCTCATGTTAGTTTTCAACCTCAGCTTTTTCATTTGGTAAATGTATCAGAATATTCCATCTGGTTGCTGGGGTTATCCCAAAGAGAAAAAATAACATTTCCAGAAGGCCAGAATTCATTCCCATTGCTTTTTTGCTTTTATGTAACTCAACAGTGGCTTTGTTTTCAGACTGTTCACAAACAGAACACACATACTGGTGGAATGCCACCCAAATGTCTGTGGAGACGGCCCAGAGCTCACTGTCACTGCAAGGCTGGGCTGACCGCTGCCCTGCCACTTCAGAGAGAAGCTTGGAGATGGGAGTAGGAACCTCTCCTGGCCCTTCAAGGAAGCCAACATGGCCACCCGAGGGGCTCTGCTGGCCTCATCTCTACCTCACAACTGTGATCACTGAGTCTAGTGAAGTGCAGCAAAATCCCGAGTCTTCTCTCCCCTCTGGATGTGAATCCAGATCTTTCTGTATTAATCTTATAGAGCCCATGTTAGCAATCGAACAGGTTTAGAGAAAAGACAATTACCACTTCGATTGCTATGAGAAAACAACAGGAATATGAGCAGCCAGAGAGGAACTTTCTAAATGCATTGACATGAATCTCACAACATCATCTCTGAATATTTTTATAAACCTAATTGACACGCACTTCAAGTCACTGATACTGAACATTCTCTCAGGTTGCCTGTTACGTCCCCTCTGCAGCAACCAAACACTGGGATGAGAGACTGCATCAAGAATGCAGCGACTGTAAGTCATGAGCATGTGTGCAGCAGACAATGCTTCCACAGTCCGCAGGACCACACTTAGAGCTCACTTGAATGAAAACAGAGTTGGAAGGTCTGGACATTTAGGAAGAGACAGTCCAAGATCAATATCAGTTTCTCATTTCCCCGAAGTATTCTCACACCCAGACAAAGGGAAAGAACTGACAAAGAAAAAAAAAATCCCAGACTTGTAAAACAAGTCCAGCTCCTTCCACACTCCTCCCATGTATCTATGCACTGCACAGGGCTGCACAAGCAGAGTTAGCATTAATGGATTTTGGTTCAATTAATTGCTCTGGATCATGATGGATAACAATTTACCAATTTTTTGGGTGAGGAATTCTCTTGGTCAGGTCTACGGTAAAATATCTCCAGAGTATTCAGGATTAATTACTCCTCTATTTCCTGCTTATTACTGCAAAGTAACAGCATTGCTTGCATGCATCCAAGGAGACAGAGCTTTCTGCAGGCCACGTGCCAAGAGAGGAATGACGGCAGCGGCCACAGAGGGGGTTCTAAAGAGCAGCAGTGACTGGCAAATTAGATACTCGAGACCACAATTAAGCCCGGCATTTCCCCCCCAACGCAGCAATTAAAATCCTACCCAGCCGGGGTACAGGGTGGTGTGGAAGACCCCTGTCTTCAGCAAGGCCTATGAGGACTTAAAAAAGATCATGAAAATATGGAATGACAAGATAATTTTGGTGCCAAAAGTTTCTGAAAAATCATGTATAGTATTTTTATAATCCAAGATTTTCACAAACCTCTTGAAGAGTCCTCATTTGCATGAACCTCAAAGTTCTTATGCACTAACATAAAGTTATCTTATAATTCAGCTTTCCAATCACATTTTAAAGGGCCAACATGTAACTCTGAAGGTTCCGCCTGCATTATGTAAAGAGGCATCTATACAATGGCCCCACGTCATGCTGGTGTTACACACAGACCAGAGTTGGCAGTCAAGGAGTTCACACTCCTGTCTTCTGACCTCTTTCTCCTCTGTATTGCGTGAACACAACTACTGCTGGCTTTCTGACCACACAATTCCTACCAGCTGTTCACACAGGATCAGGAAAATCCTGACAAACCTCCTCCAAGAAGGGCGGTGAACAACACGGATGAACATCCTCTTACAGCTAAGCAAACATGGTGCTGATCCCACCCGCAGATAATGGGTCATCATTTCCCAGCTGCTGGGAGGCTGAGAAGTTCCGTAGCCTGGCATGCATCCTGGTGCCTCTTAAGAGCAATCCATTTTATAACCAAGGCTCATTTTAAAGGACAGGAACTGAAAATGCTGCCGGGCAAGAATGGCACTTAATTTGCAGGTCTCAATACAGAAGATAAGTGCAGTTTTCCAAGTTACAAGAACAGAGAAGAACCTTAGTCCAGTGCGGGTCCTTTTGTGTCTATGGGGTGCCACATACTGGTGCAGGTTGCACTC